CCACTGTGATCTGAGAAGAGGCTTGATATGATTTCAATCTTCTTGAACTTATAGAGACTTGTTTTGTGTCCTAATATATGGTCTATCTTTGTGAATGATCCATGTGCACTTGAGAAGAATGTATATTCTGCAGTTTTGGGTGAAATGTTCTATGAATGTCTATTAAATCCATCTGATCCAGGGTGTGCTTTAGAGTCACTGTTTCCTTGTTAATTTTTTGTCTGGAAGATCTATCCAGTGAAGTCAGCAAGGTGTTAAAGTCCCCTACTATGACTGTGTTGTTGTCGATCTCTCCTTTAAAGTCTTCCAGAATTTTTTAAAAATATATTTAGGTGCTCCTATGTTGGGTCCATGTATGTTTACCAAGGTTATATCCTCTTGTTGGATTGATCCCTTTATGTAGTGGCCTTTGTTGTCTCTTGTGATGGCCTTCATTTTGAAGTCTATTTTGTCAGATATGAGTATTGCTACTCCAGCTTTTTTTCTTCTTTTCCATTTGCACAGAAAAATTTTTTCCATCCCTCCGATCTCATCCTGTGTGTGTCTTTTGTTCTGAGGCAGGTCTCCTATAGACAGTATCTAGTTGGGTCATGTTCTTGTATCCATTCAGCTACCCTATGTCTTTTGATTGGAGCATTTAGTCCATTAATATTTAAGGTTATTATTGATACGTACTTATGTATTGCCATTTAATTCTGTATGCCTAGGTTTCTCTCTCTATTTCTTCTCATTACAGCAGTCCCTTTAGCATTTCTTGTAATGCTGGCTTGGTGGTGATGTACTTCTTTAGCCCCTCCCTTTTTTTTGGTCTGAGAAGCTCTCTATTTGACTGTCTATGTTGAATGATAGCCTTGCTGGGTATAGTAATCTTGGTTTCATATCCTTGCTTTCCATAACCTTGAGCACTTCATGCCATTCCCTTCTGGCCTGTAGAGTTTCTGATGAATAATCAGGTGTCAGCCTTATGGGAGCTCCTTTGTAGGTAACAGTTTGCTTTTCTCTTTCTGCCTTTAAGATTCTGTCTTTGTCTTTAATTTTTGGCATTTTAATTATAATGTGTCTGGGTGTTGGTCTGTTTGGGTTCTTCTTACTTGGGGTTCTCTGGGCCTCCTGAACTTGTGTGAGTTTTTCCTTTACCAGGTTAGGAAAGTTTTCTGTCATTATTTCTTCAAACACTTTCTCTATTCCTTTCTCCCTTTCTGCCTCTTCTGCTATTTGAATATTATGTTTCATGTTGTCCCATAGCTCTCTTAAGCTGTCTTCCTGATTTTTAATTGTTTTTTTTCTTTTTGGTTCTCTGAATGAGTGATTTTTTTCCACCCTGATTTGATCCTCAGCTTCCCCTAATCTGCTGTGTATTCCTTCCAATGTGTTCTTTATTTGTGCTATGTCATTCTTTATTTTTGTTTCCTTTTCTTTTCTTTTTTTTTTCTTTCAGGAAAAACTCTTTATTTTCAGATGTACTAGTACAGTGACTCAGGGGAATCTGTTTCCAAATCCTGAGTCTATTTTTTTTCATAGTTACTATATCTTTTCTCATGCTGTTGATCATCTTTACCATCATTATTCTGAACTCTATATCAGGTAAATTTCTTATCTCCATTTCATTTATCTCTTCTTCTGAAGAATTTTCTTGTTTTTTCACTGGGGGTTGTTTCTTTGTCTTCTCATTTTGGCTGCCTGTTTGGGCTTGTGACTATGTATTAGGTTGATCTGCTATGCCTCTCAATCTTTAGTGCAGGACAATGTCAAATGCTGTTTTTGTCTAATTAGATCAGGCAAAGACTCAAAGTCTCCAGAGAATGCCTCTGCCTAACAGACTGATAGGATTTTGTCTTGAATTGCCCACAGGCAATCGTCCACAGGTGTGGCAAGAGTTTGTTTGTTTTTTAACAGTGTGGGGTAATTTCTTCTGCCTGGAGGCTAATAGTTATTCTCAGTCTTCTATTAGGCCTCAGAAACTCTGCACCTTGGGTTAAGGTGTTTTCCAATAGGGTGGATCAACTGTCTTCCCCCCAGGCAAGCCACCTATATAGCAAATGTCTGTGTGAGAAAGATGACCTCCACAGCATGAGGGAATGACTCAGCACAGGAAGCCTTCTGAGCTCTAACCCCAAAGCCCCTGGTCCTAGCTTCTGCTCACACAGCTCCAGTCCACTCTGCCAGAGCACAAGGTGAGTAGCTCCACAGGGAATTTTGTGCAATGGCCCTTTAAGAGGGTGCCTGGATTCCAGCCGTCTCTCCTTGGCAGACAGCAACCCTATTGCTTTTCATAGCCAGATGTTGTGTGGGTACCCTTCTCAGTTCTGATGCTCTCTGCTGGGGAGCACAGCTTGGGAATTAGACCCCAGAGTTCTGAGGGGCAACCCCCACAGCTGAGATATCTCTCAGGAACTGCTGTTGCTGTCTGTGGGAGCCTGGCCAGCCCTTTCACACTTCCGCCCCTCCTACCAGTCTCTATGCTGTCTCCACTTTTGGTTCTCGGTTAACAGGGTTCTCTCCAGTGAGTCTTCCATTGGTTATTCAGGAAGTTTTCTTGTATTTTAGTTGTAATTCCAGTTTGGTCCTGGGAGCATGTCCATGCAGCATCTACTGACTCTGTCACCATTTTTAATCCTACCACCCAACTTTTTAAATGATAACAATACTGATCACATTATGGTAATGGCAAAATTATTACATTTTACACCATTAGTGGCATAAAATTAGCATCACTCTAACAAAGCAATATGGAAACACATCAATAGCCTTAAAAAATATACATACTTTTTGTCTAGAATTTCTTCTGAAGGATATTATTTATTAGAAAAAAAATTTAGATAAAATAGTATTTATTTTAGCATTGTCTGTGCTGATGAGAAATTCAAAATGACCTACATGTCCAATATTTTAAAAATTGTTAAGTAAGTAATGGTATACCAACTCAATGGGTAATTATGGAACCAGTTAAATTGAAATTTTGAATATTGCTTAGCAAAAAATTTTTTCAAGAGACAAAGTTAGCATTATTTATTTATTTATTTATAGTCCTCACTTGAAGATATGTGTTTTTTTAAAATTGATTTTTAGAGAGAGATCAATATAAAAGAGAAACATCGATTGATTGCCTCCTGTATGCCCTAGCCAGGAATGAACCTGCAACCTAGGTACGTGCCCTGACCAGGAATCAAGCCCACAACCTTTTGGTGTATGGGACAATGCTTCAACCAACTGAGCCACCCGGCCAGGGTTGTGTCTTTTAAGTGCCATATAAGTCTTTCTATAATGGATTAGTAATATTTTTATATTGTGTTATACAGCAAATACACACCTTTTTAGTAGTTATCTTAATATTATTAAAGCCTTGAGTTTATTATTTAAATATCCTTACAGATAATTTTTCAGAATCATTCTTTGTAAAGTAACTTCAAAATCTCATTAATATTTTTTGAAGTCATTAGGAGTAGAATAGACATATGTGCTACATTATAGCTAAGCAAGTCTACTAATGATAAAGTGAAAAGCATTTTTGCACAGATCTATGGTAATGGCACAATTTCTTATACCTTGAATAGAGAATCCTTTACTTTCTACATAAGGAGCCATCTTCAAGTTGTGTATAATTCTAGTTATGAGATCCCATATATACATATTCATTTGGATTAGGAAAAGGGATTTGGCTAAACCAAGAGATGGTAGAGCCAATTTTATAGAATGTTCTTTCTGAAAACTGATATTTATCAGTATTTTGCTATAGCTCTGAAACTAAGTGAATTTTCTTTTAGTATGTAGACTTGAAATAATTATTTTCATTTTCACATACTTTATCTTTTAAATACTTTTTTTTTTTATTTTTTTTTTTTTAAATATATTTTATTGATTTTTTACAGAGAGGAAGAGAGAGGGATAGAGAGTTAGAAACATTGATTACAGAGAGGAAGGGAGAGGGATAGAGAGTCAGAAACATCAATGAGAGAGAAACATCGATCAGCTGCCTCCTGTACAGCCCCCAACTGGGGGTGTGCTTGCAACCAAGGTACATGCCCTTGACCGGAATCGAACCAGGGATTCTTCAGTCTGCAGGTCGACGCTCTATCCACTGAGCCAAACCAGTTAAGGCAGTCCTTACTTCTTCATTCCTACTATAATCATTATTATTGCAGCATGTTTATTTATTACTAGAGGCCCGGTTCATGAAATTTATGCACTTTAGGAGGGGGGGTCCCCTCAGCCCAGCCTGTGCCCTCTCATAGTCCAGGAGCCCTCAGGGGATGTCTGACTGCCAGCTTCGCACTGCCGTGGAGGCGGGAGAGGCTCCTTGCCACTACCACTGTGCTCGTCAACCGTGAGCCCTGCTTCTGGCTGAGCAGTGCTCCCCCTGTGGGAGTGCACTGACCACCAGGGGGCAGCTCCTGCATTGAGCATCTGCCCCCTGGTGGTCAGTGTGCATTATAGTGACCTGTCGTTCCGCTGTTTGGTTGATTTGCATAGTAGCTTTTTATTATATAGGACTTTGTTTCAATACTTCTCTCATTCTCATGAACTTTATATTTTTTTTACTTCTTCTCTTCATTATGTTTTTTTCCTAACTTGTCATTATCCAAGTTCGGCTGACCCTTCAAGATACAGTTCATGGGTTGCTCTCTCTGTTTATATTGATGAACTCCTTCCCTCCACCTCTCCCCTACTGCATGCACACACACACACACACACACACACACACACACACACACATCAGACATTGAGCACCTACAATGTGTCAGGCACTATTTTAGGAACTGCAATTATAATATTATTTTGCATATATAATTCTTTTTTTGTTCTAACCATATACTACTATCAATTATAATTGAATTGTGTCATGTCTGTTTTTTACCTCTTAATGACAGTTGCAAATTCCTGGAAGTCAATGTTCTATTTACAGTTCTTTTATATCCTCCTCAGATTTCTCCTCCTTGTTATGCATGCTGGCAACATTTAGTAAACATAGTTTGAAAAAAAAATTTTTTTCTTTATTTCAGGAGTGGCAATGTGTACAATCAAAAGGTTGCTTTTTCTTAGAAGAAAATGGTGAAATCATTAGTCATCAATACAGGATGCAAATAGCTCAGAGGTCCATGGTTTATTTAACAATTAAACCATTAAATCTGAGCCAAGTTGAAGGCAAGTTTAAAATTTTTACATATTTTAACCCTCTTTGAAAATACTTATGTAAGTATGTGATAGTTTTATTTAGTGAAGAAGATAATCTGCCTAAGAAACATGTGGTTACATACATTTAAAGAGTTAATTTATACATTGTTACCATATTTTGCAAAGCAAGTAAGTTGCTTTTTGTATATGTCTAAAGCATGTTTTATTTTAATTCATTTAAAAATCTTATGACATAGAATTAACTTTTCATTTGCTAATTAATCCTTAGCTTTGTCACTTACCAAATTTTAGAATTAATATGTTAAGAAAAATTCTATAGAAATGTAATTTATTTATTTATTTTTTTAAAAAAAATATTTTATTGATTCTTTACAGAGAGGAAGGGAGAGGAATAGAGAGTTAAAAACATCAATGAGAGAGAAACATGGATCAGCTGCTTCCCGCACACCCCCTACTGGGGATGTGCCTGCAACCAAGGTACATGCCCTTGACTGGAATCGAACCTGGGACCCTTGAGTCCACAGGCCGACGCTCTATCCACCGAGCCAAACCGGTCTGGGCTAGAAATGTAATTTAAGACAATATGAACTGCAAGTATTTTTTAATAATTCCAAAGCCATATGTCATATGATTTAGACAATTCTTATTAATAATTATTGCATTCATACTAATATTCTTTTTTTTTGTACACAAATGCTAGGTAAAAATTAGTAATTTCCAAGTGTCTAACATAGTTATTATGTCATTTAATAATTCCCTAGAAACGCTTATAATGTTGATTGTTCTAAATATCAATGTTTTCTTTTATTATGTTTACATATAAACATTTTCTAACTAGAGGTTCTTCCCCATTCCCATTCTTTTTTCCTCCTAATGTAGATTCACTGTATATCTTGTAGGATACTTACAACATTTGGTAGTTGATGCTTTTAAATAGTAATTACTATAGTCATTTTTTAAACAAAGGTTTCAAGATAGGCCTGCAAATTCAATGTTGTTGTTAATTCTCCATATTCTTACAAAAAAGATTTCCTTATTCATTTATTTCTCAAATATTTATTGAGGATCCATATACTTAGTAGCATTTTAGGTGCTTAGGATACATCAGAATACAAAAAAGACAAAAATGCCTGCCCTTATGAACTTACATTCTAATGGGGGAAATAATAAATAATAAACATACTAAATAGTAAATGCCATGTATGTTAGAAGGTGATAAGTGCTATGAGAAAAACATAGGGGAAAGGGTGCATTGTGAATGCCGAGGGAATATGGGTTGCCACTGAAATGGAGTGGTTAGTGTATGCTTCATTAAGAAGCTGATATTTGAGCAAAGACTATGAAAGAAGTATATCAATTGTGAACTGCTACATAACAAAATATCCCAAAACTCAGTAGCTTAAAATAATTAAACATTTGTTTGCTCATGAGTTTGTCTCATGGATAGTTCTTTTGGTCTGAGTTAGGCTTGGCTTTTCTCTGTAGGGCTCATGCATGCACCTGTTGTCTGCTGCTGGCTAGTTGCTGTCTGGTGTTACTGATCTTGGCTGGGCTCTCTACTCTGTATGGGGCCTATGGGCTCTCAGTTGGGACAGTTTGACTCTACCTCATTTAATCTTTTTCTTTTTTTTCTTTTAAGATTTTTTTTTTTAGAGAGAGGCAGGGCGAGGGGGATTGATGCAAAAGCAAAACAGATTGGCCACCTCCCAAACTCTCCTTACCCGCAACCTGGGGATGTGCCCTGACTGGGAATTGAACTGACTGGGAATTGAACCAGCAACCTTTTGGTACATGGCACAAAGCCCAACCAACTGAGCCACACCGGCCAGGAGTCTGGACTTGTTCTCATGGTGTAACAGGGATCTTTGAGAGAAAGCAGAAGCACCATAGGGCCTCCCGATGCCTGGGCTCAGAAATGGCATGTTTCTTCTTGCTGCTCACAGCAAGTCATAAGACAAGTCCAGATTTATAAAGTGAAGAAATAGACTTGACCTCTTAAGGAAGGAGCTGCAAAGTCACATTGCAAAGGGCTGTAGATACAGATAGGAAAAGCCATTTTTGCTGTCTTCCACAGAAGACAAGGGGGTATGCTTTGTGGGTGTAAGGGTGTTGAGAAGGATGAGTGAAGAGTGGAGGAGGTGAGAGTGTGCATAGTTTAGAAGAAGAGCAAGGGGCTAGAGTGTTTAGAATTAGGTAAGGAAACTATGAGGAACAAGGACAAAATCAGATAGAGGGTTTTTACCATAATGAGGATGTGGCCTTTAATCTGAGGGAAATGAAGAACCTTTAGGAGGATTTTCCCATGGCTGCCATCAAGATTTTCTTTTTCTTTTATTTTCAACAGTTTGAATATGTGCTTGGTATTTTTGCTTTTCTTGTTGATACTGCTTGATTTGTGTTTTTTTTTGTTTGTTTGTTTGTTTTGTATTTATCCTGCTTAGGGCTCTATGAGTATCTTGGATTTATGGCTTGTTGTCTTGTATAATTTTTAGAAAATTTTCCACTTTTATTTCTTCAAACTAGAGGACCGGTGCATGAAATTCATCTATAGGTGTGTGTGTCCCTCAGCCCAGCCTGCGCCCTCTCCAATCTGGGACCCCTCGAGGCAGTCGGACATTCCTCTCACAATCCAGGACTGCTGGCTCCCAACCGCTCGTCTGCCTGCCTGCCTGCCTGCCTGGTTGCCCCTAACCACTCCCCTGCCAGCCTGATCGATGCCTAACTTCTCCCCTGCCAGCCTGATTGCCCCTAACTGTCCTCCCCTGCTGGCCCGGTCACCCCTAACTGCCCTCCCATGCAGGCCTGGTTTCCCCTAACTGCCTTCCCCTGCAAACCTGATTCTCCCACCCCCACTGCCCTCCCCTGCAGGCCTTGTCCCTCCCAACTGTCCTCCCCTGCAGGCCTGGTCACCCCCAACTGCCCTCCCCTGCAGGCCTGGTCGCCCCTAACTATCCTTCCCTGCAGGCCTGGTACCCCCCAACTGCCCTCCCCTGCAGGCCTGGTCCCCCCCCCCCCAACTCCTCTCCTATGCAGGCCTGGTCCCCCCAACTGACCTCCTCTGCCAGCCTAATCGCCCACAACTGCCCTCCTTTGCTGGCCTAATCGCCCACAACTTCCCTCCTTGCCAGCCATCTTGTGGCAGCCATCCTGTGTCCATATGGGGGCGACGAGTGATGGTCAATTTGCATATTACCTCTTTATTATATAGAATATTGCTCTGTCCTCTGTCTTTAGCCACTTGTATGGTATGGATAAAGATGTATGCCTGACATCTCGTCCTCCTGTTTTTTATCACAAATAAGCCAGTGCTTGCATGTCCTCTCTCCTTTGAAAGGTCTGTCTTTCCTTGGATTTGAGGCTATTTGGTGGCCCTGTGACCTCAGCTCTGAATGGGTTCAAGAAAATTTATGATTTTGTAGTTCATTCACTTTTCCTTATTGTTTGGGTGGGAGCAACATTTTTCCAACTCCTAACTCCATGAGAAGATTATGAGTAGAGGCAGGACATAATATGACTTGTATTTTATCAAGATAGTCAGATTGTCATATTGAAAAGAGACTGAAGGGTGCCCAGGAGAAAGCAAGGAGACCAGCTAGGGTGCTATTGCAGAATTCTAAGAGGTAAGTGATTATGCTTTGAACTGGAATGTACAAAGGATCAGAAGTAAAAATTCTGGAGATATTTTGAAGGTTGAACCATAGGGTTTTCTGGGTATTGGTTGTGATATATGAGAAAAGAAAAAAGTTAAAGATGACTCCAAGATTTCTGGCTTGAGCAACTGAAAGGAATGAATTACTATTAACAGAGATTGAGAAGAGTATAGATGGACAGTTTTTTAAAAGGGGTTGAGGAAGGTCAGTTTTAGATATAGAAATCCAAGTGGAAATGTTAAATAGCAGTTGTTTATATAGATCTAATGTTGAGAGGTAAGGTTCTAACTGGAAATACAAATTTTGGAGTTGTTAACACATAGATGGTGTCTGACATCTCTTCCTCCAACTATGTTTTCCCTCAGGTAACCAGTACTTGCATCCCTTCTCTCCCTAAAGGGTTTTGTTTTTCTTTGGATTTCAGGCTTCTTGGTTGCCTTGCAACCTCAGATCTTTGATAAAGTCAAGAAAAATTATGATTTTTAGAAATTGTGTATGTGGAGAATGTTTGTAACAAGCTCACTGTATATAAGTATGTGCCTTATTGCAAATGCAATTATGTTTTTATATAAAAGTAGAATGTGTATTTCTAAAAAAGAATCCAGTGGGAAAAGAAACCACTAACTTCTTCTTTAAATGGGAAGAGTAAGTAGTGAGTGCTTATTTTAAGATTTTGGGTTTTTTATTTGTAGGAAAACCATCACCTTGGTTATCAGTTGATACTGCCTTGTATATCCTTAAGGAAAGTGAGAATCAAGCAAACCTGCAGCTCATGTGTTTTACTGAACTACGAAATAGAGAAGTATACATATATGTTTTCTAATATTTAATTTTAAAATATAGTATGAATTCAAGTTTGGGGACAATAGTAGTTTTTCTATATTTTATTTTTTTAACTTTTGTATATTTTCTTCCAATTAAGGCATATACAGTACTTAAACACTATATAGAATATTACATATGTTTTATTGTGAAGGATTATTTTTTGTTCGCTGAGATTTAAGAATTGAGGCTTGATTGGCAGTCTTAGCTTCATAACTTAACAGTTGTATGACATTGTACTTCACTTTCCTCTTCTCTAAATACCTGATTCCACACATGAGAACATTTTTTGTTAGACTCAAAAAAAGGGTTGATACCAGTGGACAGTTTCCCCCTAAATGCAAGTAATTCAAGACTTGGGAAAGACTTGCTTTAGATGTTTATTTTACTTACATGCTACTGCAAAAAAGAAAAATGTCAAGATTACTATCCTCAGGCTTGACTCATATTATAGGGTTCAAAAATAGATTGATCTGAAGAAATGCTTTTAAATGATTTTATATGTTGCTCATAGGGTTGCTCTGATCTTTTCTAATTATATATTTACTCAGAAGCCAAAAATGTGAGGCAGATACATAAATGTGGCTATTTATTTTATGAGGACTACAAAATACATCTGCTACACAACAACAGGAATAATACTATTCAAGGGCTTACTGCAATATCATATTTAATCTTTATATAGGTCCAACGACAGACAAACATTTCCCTGATGGAATGTTATATAAAAGTCTTTATTGTAGGCTTCCTTACAGACAAGAATAGTTATAGGCAAGAAACAAATAAAATGACAGAAGTTAATGTTTGACTAAACTCCTCTTCAGAACTGACTACAAAGTTAAGTTCAAGATAAAGCATTATCTAAAACAATAGCTTTTCCCATTTTTGCTTTGGATAAAATTACTTTCTTATGAGATTGCATGTGTAAAAATGTTAGTACATAGCAAGCCTGTAATAAAGTTTGAATGAGTTTCTATTTACCCCTTTACTATATGGGCTTCTGGTTATCTGTAATATGTCATATTTACAAAGGACTTTTCACTTTTAGTTTTAGTTTCACAAATTTTCTTTAAAAAGAATTTTGTGCCCATGAAAGACTTTCCATTTGCCATCCACAGTGGCAATTCAGGGTTATATGTGGAGTTTCATGGGATAACATATATTAGGAAGTGGCAAGAACTGTTTTTCACTCCTGGGTATCAGTCTACATCTGGCCAGTCTAAAAGATTATGGCTTCCAAAGGATGGCTTTGGTCAATCTTTAGTCTTCAAAATGACTCTCGGTTTTATTAGGTTGCTTCTTGCATTAAAATAGGACATGGTCACTTTTTTTAAAAATATGTTTTATTGAATTTTTACAGAGAGGAAGGGAGAGGGATAGAGAGTCAGAAACATCAATGAGAAAGAAACATCGATCAGCTGCCTCCTGCACACATCCTACTGGGGATGTGCCCACAATCAAGGCACATGCCCTTGCCCAGAATCGAACCTGGGACCTTTCAGTCTGCAGGCTGACGCTCTATCCACTGAGTCAAACCGGTTAGGGTGGACATGGTCACTTTAAGATGACTATGGTTCCCCTGATAGGTGAGGGCAGAATTTGGGATATACGTACACAGGATGACCTAAAATATACCTGGGTTTTGAAAGGTTTTGAACATAATACCAGACAGAAATCCCTAGAGCTATTCTGTACTGAAGGGCAAATAGCTGACAGAACATTCTTAGAATTAATATGTTTGACAGAGACAACCCCTAGGTTTTATAGGAAGCCATTGGGCTTCAGAAAGTACCTAGAAGGTCCATAGAAAGATACCATTTTGCTTTATTTTATAGAACAAGAGAATAAGATATTTCCCTATACAAATATCCTGGTACTCATTATAAATATCCTGTGATGGAAAATAATTTTATATAAGGTAGATTTACATGGGATTCTGCCATGTTGTTTTATAGTCCATATTGCATAATAGAAAAATTCCAGTGTGTTTGCCTGTAGAATTGGATTCTTATGAATATGGCTAATTTATATAAATAGTTAACTCTTTTAAATATATTTAATTTTTATTTTGTGTCATTGAAATCTGAGTTACAAATTATATATTTATATTTGAATCATATTAGGGAACTGTACCCTGGAAAAATTATTCTAAGATCTCTGTCTTTGCTTTCTGTTGAAGATATTTGCTTCACAATCATTTTTAACATGATTGGAAAAGATTTAGAAATTATATAATTTTTTACCTATTATAGTTTTAAGCATTAAAAAAGATAGAACTACATAGAATTATATCTAATAGTCTTATACTAGAGTTACCATTGAAAACAGATGTTGAAGCCTGTAAAAGATTGATAAAACTAAAATAGAATTGGTGAATATTGATTTTAAAATTTATTTCTAATGCTTCCTTTTCAGAAAGAAGATGGAAAGTCATTAAGATTTATGGTGGTTTTAAAAATTCTTCTTCTTTTCAAAACAGGTTTTTGGATGGACTGGTGAACTAGGACCTGGAATTTACTGGTTAATTCCTTCCACAACTGGCTGTAGGCTGAAGAAAGAAATAAAACCAATAACAGAAGAAGCCCAGCTGGTGTGTAGGGATGAAACAGGGGAATTGTTTCTTACAAATGAATTTAGGTAAGTCTTGTTTCTGAAGGTTAGAACTTAACATTTAGACTGGACACATATATATTAATAGCCTGTCTTCCACCCTTTCCTTTGGGCAGCTGCCACTCCCACCCCATGATTCTAATTCAATAATTCAACTCTTTCACTAGGCTTCTGGAAGTGACCTTGCATTCACAGGTCTGGGATTGCCATTCATTTCTGGGTTCCATACATTTAGCAAGTCAGCTTTAGTCATACATCTCAATTTCTCCTCCCATAGGCACTGCCGTAAAACTAGATCCTGCTAGTTGCACTGTTGACTTAGATAACTGTCAAACATGAAATCCAAGCACTTAGGTGGTTTTCCCATGCCCTAGATACACACATCATCTGGTAGAAAGGAAGAAGAAAGATTGGAGAAAGGAGAAAAGAAGGGAACTGCTATTAATTGAGGTCCTACTATGTGTTAAGATACAATGATTGCTTTAGAAGCTTCTTTATCTCATACAATACTAGACTGAGTAAAAATATACATTTGGATACATTAGCTTTATAGTTCACAAAAACTGTTCAATAACTTGATATTACTTCTTTTTGAAAGTTATCTTTATAGAAAGCTTCAGTCAAGTTGCCTTGGAGACAAGAAATAATTTGCTGTTTTTATAATTTTAGGTCAACTTTATCAGATATATTTGAAATAATTGACTTAGATGGAAATGGTCTTCTTAGTCTTGAAGAATATAATTTTTTTGAATTGAGAACAAGTGGTGAGAAATGTGATGAAGATGCTTGGGCTGTCTGCAGAGGTAAGCACTTTTCTTTTTTTAAAAAAACAATATGTTTTTATTGATTTTTTAGAGAGAGAAGAAGGGAGAGGGACAGATAGAAACATCGATGAGAGAAAGACATCAATCAGCTGCCTCCTGCAAACTGGGCATGTGCCCTGACTGGAATCGAATCGGTGGCCTGTTAGTTCATGGGTTGATGTTCAACCACTGAGCCACACTGGCTGAGCAGCAATTTTCTTTTTCTTAATGGATTATGTAAAGAAATATATAGGTCCCCTCTCATTCTTAAGAAGTAAAATGTCAGACTTCTCCTTGGAATATTATTATAGCAATTGTTTGTAGATCATAAAAATGGAAACATTTATTTTACTTAAACTGATAGTTGGTATAGTACTCAAAGAAAATATGAATGATAATACTTAATTGTAATTTTGTTTTCAACCTGTGCTCTTTGGCGCTTAGAATGTAAAAAACTTTGTCCTAGCCCTAGCCCGTTTGGCTCAGTGGATGGAGTGTCGGCCTGAGGACTGAAGGGTCCTGGGTTCGGCTCCATTCCTAGTAGGACGTGTGCAGGAGGCAACCAATCAATTATTCTCTCATCATTGATGTTTCTATCTCTCTCTCCTTCTCCCTTCCTCTCTGAAATCAATAAAAATACATTAAAAATATTTAAACAAAAAACACTTTGCCCTAGCTCTTGATATCAATGGGACTGCAGTGGTCAAGAACCCCAAACTGTGCCCAGGAGAGGGCAGCAAAGATCTAATAAACTAGAGTTTTACTAAAAATTAAGTTTCCAGGAAGTTGTTTATACCTATTAAGAATTCTTTGGGTTTTTTGTATTTGAGTTAAATTATAAAATTGCATCTATGGAAGTATGGAAACCAAAAATACCAAATAAATATATTGAGAATGAGGCAAAAGCAATTGTCACTTAGGAGTATGGGATTTGGGTGGGGCTTTATATTTAAGACAAGGACTGAAAGGTCAAGGAGGAAAACCAAAAAGCCATAGCCAGAACAAGAAGTTTGAGGAGGAACAAATACCAGATTAATTCACATATATCTATCACTGGGGCAGTACTGTGTCCTACTCTTCTGGTTCTTAAAATGATCTAAGCTTGGCAGTCAGTGAGCCAAATGGAAGTCTGAAAAATATTTATCTAAACAGCAAGTAAGGTAGACATATTAATATAAAGGTTTTTAAAAATATATCTCTTTAGCTGAGTTTATATAGTATAATCAATAAGAAATGTATATTGATTTATAATATTAAATTTTGATTAACAAGATTGATAATATACTTAAGTGTATTATTTTTAGAATGATGCTATTATCTTGTAACTTTAATGATATAATCTTTTAATTCTTTATTGTTTACACTAGAGCAGTGATGGCGAACCTATGACACGTGTGTCAGAGGTGACACGCGAACTCATTTTTTTGGTTGATTTTTCTTTGTTAAATGGCATTTAAATATATAAAATAAATATCAAAAATATAAGTCTTTGTTTTACTATGGTTGCAAATATCAAAAAATTTCTATATGTGACATGGCTCCAGAGTTAAGTTAGGGTTTTTCAAAATGCTGACACGCCGAGCTCAAAAGGTTCTCCATCACTGCACTAGAGCATAGTCCATAAGAGTGATTCATAATTAGGATTTTCTTACTATAAAATTGTTGATAAATATAATTTATTTAATAATTTAATTAAATTGGTAGAGTTGATAGTTAACCTTTTTTGAGAACTTATCATGTACTAGGTGGACGCACTTCTACATATCAACTCTCTGAGATATGTGCTATTATTCTCATTTTACAAATAAGGAATCAGAATAAAAGAGGGTAAGTCACTTGAGCATGGTTAGACAGCAAAAAATTTCACAGCTGAATTTCAAACCTAGGCAGTCAGACTCCAGAACCTTAAGCACCATGCTATAAAAAATACCCAAGAATGGTTGACTTAAAAAGTGATTTGGGGAGAATGTCTCTTTTACCAACATTAATAATACTACAAAGAAACAGGCTTTTTAAGTTCTGAAGTGTTTATATTTTTAATCACATATAATATTAATTTTATCATTTTCCTTGATAATAAGAAAACATTATCTATAAGATCATTTTAATAAACTCTTGTTAGACTTAAATGTGCCTTTATTTTATTTTTAGAGAAGTTTTAGGTTTATAGTAAAGATTAAATAGATAATCCCATGTATCCTTTCTCCCCCCCCCCACCAGTTCTCCCTATTATAAACATGTTGTATTAATTAGTATGGTACATTTGTTAAAATTGATACTGATATGTCATTATTAACTAAAATCCATAGTTTGTATTAGGATTATATTATGTTGTACAATTCTTTGGATTTTGACAAATATATAATTTCATGTATCTGGCATTACAGAATCATAAAGAATCATTTCATTGCCCTAAAAATCCTCTATGCTGTACCTATTTATCTACCTATTCCTCCCTCCAAACTTTTGGCAACCACTGATTTTTTTACTGTCTCTATAGTTTTGCCTCTTCCAGAGTATTGTCTTGTTAGAAAATCGTACAATACATAGCCTTTTCAGATTGTCCTCTTTCACTTCGCAATATGCATTTAGTTTCCTTTATCAAGGCTTGATAGTTCATTTCTTTTTACCGCTGAATTATATTTTGTTGTTTGAAAGTACCACAGTTTGTTTATTCACCTATTAAAGGACATCTTGATTACTTCCAGTTTTTGGCAATAATGAATATAGCTGTTATAAATAATCAATGCACAGATTTTTGTGTGTACATAATTTTCAACTCATTTCAATCATTTCAGTTAATGAATGGTATAGCAATGAAATGGTATTGCTGTATGGCATAGTAAACCTGTGTTTAACTTTGAAAGAACTGTCTTCCAAAGTGACTGTACCATTTGCATTCCCACCAGCAATGAATCCTGTTGCACCATACAACATTTGGTATTGTCAGTTTTTTGGATTTAGCCATTCTAATATGTGTGTAGTGGTATTTCATTGTTGTTTTATTTTGCAATTCCTTAATGAAATATAACACCGAGTATCTTTTCATATGTTTCTTTGCCATCTGCATATTTTCTTTGGTGAGGTGTCCAGATTTTTTGTCCATTTTTTAATTAAGATATTTGTTTCCTTATTGTTGAGTTCTTTTTTTTTTAATTTTTTTTATTGCTTAAAGCATTACAAAGGGTATTACATATGTGTCCTTTTTTTTCCCCCCGCCCTTGACAATACCCCGGCTTCCCCTACCCCCCAGTGTCTTATGTCCATTGGTTATGCTCATATGCATGCATACAAGCCCTTCAGTTGATCTCTTAACCCCCTCCCTCCTGCCCCCCAACCCTCCCCGGCCTTCCCTGCCGGAAGCCGGTCCATCCTTGCTGCTTGACACAGTCGCTGCAGGAAAGAAACATCTGCACAGCATTTGTTTCAAGGGACCTGGCATATATAGCATATTGTTCTTAATATGTTTGCTCTCCTTAGTGCCATGTGTTTTAACCAAGGTCACCTCTCCGAGAAAGGTTGTTTCCCCAGGTGGGGATCTTTCCCTGAGGTTAGGGAGGGGATAC